GAATTATGAGATTTTCTGCTCTGGCCGAAGGCAACAGGAACTATTCCTGGCCATGGTGAGTTCATCGATTGGTTCCTCTAACCTTTCATTCCTTTCCTGGTTTAGGGTAATGTCCTCACTCACATGTGCTGAGTATTTCTCTGCTGAATGCTTGAAGGAGACTGTCTGCATATCTACAGAGTTCTCTTTGTGCAGTTTACTCTTCTCTAATACTCGATCCTGTGAATTTTGTCCTCCTTCTCCAACACTCTCTGTTCTGGCTTATCTACTCAGGAAGTCTTTCAGGCTCCACCTGACTTAGCCCTCCCTGTACTACCACTTGGAAACTCTTTCCAGGTAGTAAGCTAAGGCAGTTGTGGGGCATACTTCATTTGTTCCCTGTCTCTCAGTATTCAGTGTCCTTTGTTGCCTGATGTCCAGTGTCCTGAAAAGTATCATTTCATATGTTTTGTTCTGTGTTTTAGATTTTTCAGGCATGAGATTAAATCCTGTCTTTGTCTGCTTCATTTTTTCTTTAAGTAGTAGTCTGGGAGTAGCATTTTAATTGGATGATAGTAGTTCAATGTCTTACTTCCAGAATTTACAGTGTAGAATGTGGGAGAGCTACTGTTGATTCCCAGAGCTCTGGAACTTGCTGTGATAAAGGAACAGTGTGTTTCTGGTATGCTAGCCAGTGCTTAAGTGGCTAAGGTCTCTGGCTTATATCTGTCTACCTCCAGTGTAGAATGTGCCATGCGTGAGCATAGGGTGTGTTATTGGTATATTATTAACTATAGAACATAAATCAATATGTGAAAGGGATTGTCTAGGACCCCCTTCTAAGGAGGGTCTTTAAAGGACCTTGTTAAAAACTGGTACCAAGGCATAGAAGGACAACAGTGTAATAAGGCTCCATTATTCATGATTTCTTGCGTTAGATTTTAGAAGTGTCACAAATATGTTTGAGAAATTCTTGTAGTCATTTCTAATTTTCTTTTAAACTCTTCAGACCTCCATTCTCGATGTGGGACTATCTAAACCCATACTAGCACAGAGATGCAGTCAGTAAGTTTTGATTCCTAAGTCTGGAATATTAGGTAAGAGCAAGCATTTTAAATGCATTACCCAAAAGATAATAAATTAGTACATTGATTGAGCAGCCTTTTAAAAAATGATTCAATGGTTACTTCTGTAGACAGCTTATTAATAATCAGATGTTTGTTGGTTATACTTCACTTGTGTGTACAAAAAATTGTTAAATAATCCAAAATGAGGACATGTTTTTATACCTTAGAAAAAGACTTTTTAAGTATATTTTTGTATGTTTTAAAGAATTTTATAATGTATGTCATTTGTATTTTAAAGGGAAAGATACCTATCCAAATTTCCCTTCCTCAAAATGTACACACACACACACACACACACAAAAAAAAAAATACACAGGTAAACAAAGAGAACTCTTAAGCTGTGCTTTATTTTGCTTATATCAAGAAAATGTAGTAGAATGAATGGCTGATTATTGTAACGCTGTCAGTTCTTCTAATGTTAATTTATTGGCTTAACAAAATTCCAAATAAAGCCACAATAGGGATTTTTGTTTGATGTTGACAGAATTATTTTATAGTTTCCTTGGAAAAATAAACAAATGCAAAGAAATAACATTTTTTGTTTGTTTGTTTGTTTTTTGAGACAGGGTCTTGCTCTATCACCAGGCTGGAGTGCAGTGGCACTATCCTGGCTCATTGCAACCTCAACCTCCCAGGCTCAGGCAATCCTCATGCCTCAGCCTCCCGAGTAGCTTGGACTACAGAAGCATGCGCCACTATACCCGGCTACTTTTTTTTTCAGTAGAGATGAGATCTTGCTTTGTTGCCCAGGCTGATCTCAAACTCCTGGGCTCCAGTGATCCTCATGCATTGGCCTCCCCAAATTCTCTTGTTTAAAACTTTATAAAGTGTGCATAAGCAAAACATTATAGTATCAACACGAGATTAGAAACATACTGTGTATCCCCAAAATATCCTGTTATAGATTACTTACCATATATCATTATGATAAAGGAAGAATCACAAATTGCGGCAAAGAGATTTTTCAATAAATAGTATTTGAGAAATCGCTTAAATATTTCAAAAAATCGTTTTAAAATGCCGTCTCTACCATATACAAAAATAAATCTTACTTACATAAAAGAGCTAAATCTTGAAAACCCAGCTAAATATTTTGTTGACCATTGGATGGTGAATGTCTCCTTAAATCATCTATATATTTGACTAGCAAAAATTAAGGATTACTGAGCATAAAAAACTAGCACAAAATTGGATAAGTATTTGCAGCTAATATGATAGAAAACTGACATTTTTAATATTTAAGTGACTTGTGCCAATTGACAAAACAGTAAGTAATAGAAAATAAGCACAAACATTACTGATAATTCACAAAAAAAGTAGAAAGACTACTAAACATGAAAAACAGTGTTCAGCCTAAAAATCAAAACTTAAATTTAAAAAATAATGCCATTTTCGCACACCAAATTTGAAAAGGCTTTTTACAGGGTATATTCCATGCTATCAAGGATGTGGTAAGACAAATGCTTTCATAAACTGCTGATGGGAGTGGAAATTACTATAACCTTTTTGGAAAATAATTTTGTTGTGTATGTCAGGAAACTTTGACTATTTATGCTCCTTGACCCAGCATTTCATTTTTTTAAAAAAATTCTTAATTCATTTTGAGAAAATAATCATAAATATCAGTAATATGTACATATGCATATTGCAGAGTTATTTCAAATAGTGAAAAACTGGAAATAACCTAAATGTCAAGAAGGGGAATGTTTAGGTAACTTACAGTAAATTGGTATGGTTATATTGTACAGCTATTGGAAACTATTTATAAATAAATTTTAAAGACATAGAATGCTTATGATATAATATCAACTGGGGATAAAGGAGGCCACTAAATAGTACTTATACGGTAGTCTGATTTCAACTCTATTAAAACACACATTCATAGACACATTCAAACACAGATATGCACAAAAAATTGTAAAGCAGATGACAAAATATTAAAAGTGCTTAGCTCAAGAGTACTGGAGTTTAGGATGATTTTCATTTTGTTGGGGGGGAGGGCGATTTATGAGTAGGACGATTAGTGGTTTGGAAAGCATTATTGGCAGTGAACCTAAAATTTGTTTTTAGAAAAGCAAACATTGCAGCATAGCATGTGGCAGAAGTGGCTTCTAGGGAAGAGTTCATTCTTATGGACAAGTATCCCTGAGTTCACATCTTGGGCCTCCTTCTTACTAGCTCTGTTATTTTGGACAAGTTACTTAATCACTCTGAGTTTCTTTCTCCATTTGCAAGATGTTCCTAATACCTACCTCATAGAGTTTGGAAGCTATAATAACATAATGATTGTACAGTGCCTGGCACATAATTTCTACTTAGTAATGTTTTATTTGCATCTATCATGAGGCTTTCCACCAAGACAACTTCATGACAAGGTGATAGGCTTGCATAACTATAACTAGGCAAAGTTTTTTCTAATTTAGTTCTAAATAGTTTTTATTTAGCCTTTTCTTATGTATTAGCTTTCAGAGAACTTTCTTATTATCCTTGGTTAGAAGTTGAATAGGCAACAGTTATTTTTATTCTTAATAAAAAGTCAAGTGAAAGTGATGTTTTTATACTTTTACCATTATAATATTCAAATTAATGCTCCCAAAACTTAGATAATAAACAATCTTTGTTTTTCTGTTGATCATTTTAAAAAGTAGTTAGCATATCAGAAGTTATTAACTGCTCATTCTCTGCAATTTTACTAGTAACCTGGATCTGCATTGTGAAATGCAGGGGCCCTAAATGGGCAAGCAGGTTGTAAGCTATTATGACATGTACTTTATGCAGTTTTGAGCCTTCTTAATAATCCAGAGGTTTCTTTATGAAAATAACCCATTTTGAGAAAAATATTTGATTTCACCAATCTGGAGTTCTTGCTAAACCTTAAAAATTACATCTCATGGCTGATTAGTGTCCAATTCTATGTGTAAATGAATACTCACTAGTGAATGGATTTAGATATAAATCTATAATAATAATACCTTATGGTTATTTAAAGTTTTTTATGTTTAATATGGTTTTAAGTTTAATATGGTTATATTAAAGTTTTTTAAAGTTTACAAAGCTTTTTTTCCACATAAACTGATTTGATTCTTACAACAACCTTGTTAGGTATATACAGCAGATATTATTGTTCTGTTTTACAGATTTAGAAACTGAGGCCCAAAGGGCTAAGTGACATGTCTGATATTACACTGCCAATTCTGATTCAAGTTCATTACTCTTCACTTCATCATAGCAGCCGTATTTCCAGGCACAAAATGATTGAGTAATACAGTGCCATTACACTCATATACATTACTAACAGAAGAGGCTTGGATCCACCCCTTAGGTCAGAGATGAGTTCACAATTGTGTGTAAGATAAGAGTTACTAAATTAACAACTTGTGGTAGTGTAGTAAAAGCTTTGGGTTTGTAGAGCCCCTAAAAGTGAAATTTCTGAGAAATGATAGTAGACAGTAAAAGAGAGAATGGTAGAAATAGTGGAATTCCCAGAGCTAAAACAAAATACCTTCTATATTTCAAATACCCTAAGGGTAACTGTATTATAGCAGAGTACTAAAATTAATATTGGTATTATGGGACTAAGTCACTTTCAAAAAGGTGAATCTTGTGCTGTGCATTTAGTGTGAGAAGATATACAAACAACATAATGTTTTGGAAAGATTTACATTAAAATGGTTAATATTGAAGAGACGCATTCTTAAAGAGTTTCATTTCATTTATATAGAAATCTTATTTCTCTGGTATTGCCAATAATTATGCCAGTCAAATAAGAATTGACTATGCTTATTATCTTATTATTTTCCTAGATTTGTCTGTCTACTCATTTTGAAAGAAGTATTTTTAAATATACTGAATACCGAAAGAAAGATCAAATGATAATTCATTATTTTGTTCTAGGTTCTGTTTACAGAGGAAGATGTGAAATTCTACCTCGCAGAACTGGCCCTTGCTTTGGATCATCTGCACCAATTAGGAATTGTTTATAGAGACCTGAAGCCAGAAAAGTAAAGTTGTATTCTTCTTTTGTATTCATGTTGTCTGTGTTTCTGGAGGTACTTTTTGTCAAACTCTATTAGGTCTTTTAAATATTATAGGGAATTCTATATGAATTACATGAAACTTGTTTGTAAAAAGTAATCTTTGTAAGACATACATTGACTTTAAGTTAATCATTTAAATTTTTAAAATATGTTAAATAGATACTGACCTATCTTAGTTTTATGATTTTTATGTAAATGTTTTATGTAAAATATTTTATTCCATCTTGTTGAATGTGAATTTTGATTTACAGCATTTTGCTTGATGAAATAGGACATATCAAATTAACAGGTATGCAGATTTTCTTATTATACCCTTAGCTGCTTGATTCATATTTTTTATTATTTTAATATAAATTTGTCTAAGCCTGTTTTTTTCTCTTTCTGAATTTGATTTGCAATTTATTCGTCTCTTTAGTGAATTAAATGTTATTTGATGGTTAGACTGCTCTCAATATGTTCTAATTGTAATATTAAAAAATTGTACATTAGATACACTTATTGTAAATAATTAATGATAGTTTTTTAGGTAACAATACATCATCTGAGTTTCAGTCTAGACAGAATGATGTATCACAAGTAGTCATCACATTTGAAATATAGTGACAACCTTCCCTCTGCCTTCCCTGACTCCTGGCAACCACTTATATGTTCTACATGTCTATAATTTTGTTATTTTGAGAATAATATAGAAATAGAATCATACAGTTGTCACACTACTGAGCATTTATCCTAGAAAAATAAAAACCTATGTTCACATAAAAGCCTATATATGAATGTTCATAACAACCCTATTTGTAATAGCCCGACTAGAAGTTACCTAAATGTTCTTCAAAAGGGGAATGGATAAATATAAATTGTCATACGTCCATGTGATGGCATGCTACTCAGCAGTAAAAAGGAAAGACCTGTTGAGACATCCAGCAACTTGGATGGATCTCAAGGGCATTGTGCTGAGTGAGCCAGTCTCAAAAGGTTACATGTGTTTTCAATAGATAGTAAATTCTGTATTTTATTATTTGAATGTTAGAACAGAGGTAAAATGAAGATGTGGTCTTTACAGATAATTTTAAATAGGTACAGTTTAAAGGTAAGTTGCTTTAAATTCCTGTGTATACTGCATCAATGCAAAAATAAAATATCAGTTACCTCAAAAGCGGACATAAATATGAAAAAGTTCAAATAAAGTTTAGTAACTCTTACTGATTCACAGCCTGATTATCTTTTTCATGTACAAAAGAAATGATGTGGGTTCGAAGATATTTAAAGAGAAAAAGGAAAGGAAAATAACAATCGGGAACAGTAGAGTTTCGAGATTTTTATATAATACATAAATTTGTATTTTACAGCAATTAAAAAGATAATTAAAAATTAATTCCTCTTTTCATTTTTGCTTAATAAAGTATACCTGTTTTGTCAGAGGTGAGAAAGAGAGGTGGGAAAGAGTAGAAAAAAACCCTATTTTTCTATCTCTACGTTAAGGTTAGTTACGTAAATAATGATGCCAAGTTGATTTGTATTTAGTATTCTCATTTTAATTCTGCTTTTGATAGATTTTAGAGACTTAAACTGTCTGAGGAGGGAAGAATAGATAGAATCAATATTAATTTATAAGCAAGGGACACAAAGCATGTAACAGGAAGAAATGTGATTCATAATTTTTTTGACAACTCAATTTATTTTCCTTGCAATGGCACAAACATTTCTGTTAAAGACTGTGTACAATAATAAATATTAGATAATTTACAGTTTTGTGATTATAACCTAGGTCAAGGTTTTATAATGACTACATTTATGGATTTACCCCGACAGCATTCCAATGAGGTTGGCTAAAGTATGACCACTCACAGCAAGTATTTTAACCCATTTGTGCCTGAGGCTGCAATTTTTTGAATTTTTGCAGTCAGACTTTGATGATGACCTTGAGCAGTAGGATATAAATAACTCCCACATGCTTAGCGTTCCAATAATGGAACACTAGGCATAAATAGGTTTAAGAATTCTTTTATAATGTTTCTTTTAATTTATTTTATGTTCTTTATCTCTCTTTCTCTTTAATTTTTCTTGTTTACTTTCTTTCTTTCTTAACCTCCTGTGTATCTTTCCTCCCTGCTATACGTCTCTTCCTATCTCCTTCTTTCTTTCCATATTGAATAGTACAGTAAAAAATACCAGATTGATTGCTATTTGCTGTTGACACCAGAGAGCTGTGTGCATGTTGTTATGATTTAGCAATGTCTCACCTAGGGAGGGTCTTTGCTAGCATTCTGTTTTCCAAGAATAATTGCAGGAGAATGACAATACTTTTTTTTTTTTTTTTCCACCAGTCCACTTTAAAAATTCTCCAGACATAAGGAATGGACCTAATATCTGAAATGACAGGCTACTGTGAAATTACAATGGACTATAGAAAGTTTCCTGTTATAACTGTGCTTTGAGTCTGATTGGCCTCATTCTGAGTTTATGATTTTTATAGCGGATCAGTAGAATGAGAGTGGATGAGAGTGGATATCCCCAAATATCTACATCCTTGCTAATATATTATTTATATTATATATTATTATAAGATTTAAGTTTTTTTTTTTCTGAAATCCTGCATCCTTTGCATACTCTGTACAAAATCCCTCCCATAGTTTATATAAAAATAACTTTATAATATGACTTGCCTCTTTAGAAAAATTATTTAATCATAATATCCCATTAAAAAGATTCCTCAAGGATCTAGAACTAGATGTACCATATGACCCAGCCATCCAATTACTGGGTATATACCCAAAGGATTATAAATCATGCTGCTATAAAGACACATGCACATGTATGTTTATTGCAGCACTATTCACAATAGCAAAGACTTGGAATCAACCCAAATGTCCATCAGTGACAGACTGGATTAAGAAAATGTGGCACATATACACCATGGAATACTATGCAGCCATAAAAAAGGATGAGTTTGTGTCCTTTGTAGGGACATGGATGCAGCTGGAAACCATCATTCTTAGCAAACTATCACAAGAACAGAAAACCAAACACCGCATGTTCTCACTCATAGGTGGGAACTGAACAATGAGATCACTTGGACTCAGGAAGGGGAACATCACACACCGGGGCCTATCATGGGGAGGGGGGAGGGGGGAGGGATTTCACTGGGAGTTATACCTGACGTAAATGACGAGTTGATGGGTGCAGCACAGCAACATGGCACAAGTATACATATGTAACAAACCTGCACGTTATGCACATGTACCCTACAACTTAAAGTATAATAATAATAAATAAATTTTAAAAAAAAGTATAGCTTGAATACAGAATCTATTTGAACTGTGATTAATCTGTTGTACTTTTTAATTTTTTTTTTTTTTAAGAGACAGAGTCTTACTCTGTCACCCAGGCTGGAGGGCTGTGGCATGATCACATCTTATCACAGCCTTTATTTAACTCCTGGGCTCAAGCCATCCTCCCACCCCAACCTTCTGAGTAGCTGGGACTTCAGGAACGTGCCACCACATCCAGCTATTTTTTTTTTTTTTTTTTTGTAGAGACAGAGTCTTGCTATATTGCCCAGGCTGGTCTTGAACTCCTGGCCTCAAGCAATCCTCCTGCTACGGCTCCCCAAAGTGTTGGGGTAACAGTTGTGAGCCACTGTGCCCAGCCTATAATGTGTTTTCTGAGAGACGTAATTCAGAAGCAACTTCTACAAAGAGAGGGAAGAAAAATATACAGTGGTCAGAGATGTAAATCACACAGTACTTGAGCTGAGTAAGAGAAGAATGTATACTTGAGAAAATAATTCTATGTAGTTTTTATAGTTACTTGCAAACTAATCACTGAGATTGCTTTTATTTATAGTAAATATTCATCAAATTATTATATTCTGAGTGTGCTTTTAAAGTTTAAAGTCTTATAAAAGAGTCTTTTAGATTACAAAGATGTGAAACACTGACACTCAAACCTACCCCCCAAAATAACCCTTCCATTATATAGTTGAATTGTACATTTTCTTTTATTTTCAAATTAGTGATTTGGAAAAACCACTGTATAACATATGGCTTATCTAATCTTGTAGCTAGTTTTATAGTTGTACAATTTTTGTTAGTTGATTGCTGAACAAATTATACTTGTTAAATAACAGTTTAGTCAGAAATAGTATGGCAAAGGAACTCTGTGGATTGGCATAAATCTCTGAAAGGTTAACAGGTGAATAAGAAAATTCTTCTCTCCCCACTTCTCTCTGGAATGGCCAAAGAAACCAGTGTTCTTCTCCACAAGCTATGTTATATTCAGCTGAACTGACCTGGAAGACTAGATGTTAATTATATTTACTTTTGTAAATGGAATGTGCAGAGTTTACAAGTTTCAATATACAGAGAAAGAACATAGTAGCACAGTGAAAAGATTTTTAAAGATTATACTGAAAGTTAAAATACATTAAGCTATTATCTCAGGATAAGTGATTTTTTTAAATGAAAATATTGAGCAGAGTTAGAAAATCAGTTTTGAGGGGACCTAAAATTAAGAGTTAATGTTGATGTTTTGTTGTAAACGAGCAATATACGGCTTATAGATTTTTAATTTTTAAAATGAAAGTATACTTTACATATGTTAAAACTCATCCTTCTGATGTCTTTTGGTGATGGAACTATCCTGTGTCTTGACTGCATCAATGTCAGTGTCCTGGCTGTGGTTATAGTACTATAGTTTTGCAAGATTTTAGCATGGGGGAAACTGGATAAACAGAATCCCTGTAGTTTTTCATGTAACAGCATACGAATCTGCAATCATCTCAAAATATAAAGTTTAATTTTTAAAAATCACTTTTTTGTGTATAGTTCTGCAAGTTTTGACAAATGCGTACAGCCTTGTAACTATCACCAAAATAAAAATATGGAACAGTTCCATAACCCTCCTCCTCCAAATTCTCCCCTTATAAGTCAATCCTCCCTTTACCCCAAGCCAACTACCAGTCTACTTTCTGTTCCCGTATATATGCTTTTCCCATAATGTAATTATGAACAGAGGCATACAGTATACAGCCTTTTGAGACTGACTTCATTTAATTAGCATAGGGCATTTGAGATTCATCCATATTGTTGGCTGTATCAATGAATATTTTTTTAAATTGCTAAGTAATGTTTCATTTTATGGTGGTACCATAATTTGTTTATCCATTCCTCAATGAGGAGGCATTTGAGTTGTTTCCTCTTTTGGGCAATGATGAATAAAGCCACTGTAAACCTTCATGTATAGGTTTTTTGACCATAAATTTTTATTTCCTTTAAGTAAATACATAAGGAG